CAAAGTCTCGAAGAAGCTCAGCCCAATCGGGCCCATACACGGGATCCTCTAAGTGCCGACTCCGTACCGCTGGTGGTAAGCTGAGTTTAAACTTGTCCCAACCACGTTTGGAAGGGTTGAGATCAAAATCTAGCTTCACAATCTTCAAGGGGAAGAGGGCAGGGTCGAAGCCTTCTCGCTGACCAGCTGGTGGGGGTGGCGGCATTGGTTCATAGGCTCGCACATTGCCAAACCGGCTTGTGCTCCCATGCTTCCAGTCCTGCAGATAGCGGGACGGTTTTTGGATTCTACAGTTCATAAATTAAGAGGTTACTGGACATTGGCATGTTGCATGTTGATTGAATCTAGCCTGCTAAGTGCATAGCATGTTTGATTTTGAAAACTGGTGACTGTCCTGGAGAAGCTCCAGTGCCATGGTCTTTTCCACAAAAAGTGCCGTGTTCAAGTTCTTCGTCAAACTCAAACTTTTGAAACCCACAGTGTCCAAGCCACGTTTGGCCACCTTCTCCAACCAAGAATCATATGGGGTCAAGTTGATGAGTCCCAAGGTTGTGACACTCTCAAGTTTGGATTTGGAGAGGAGACCTGAAATCAAAATCACTGGCAATTGGTCACCGGCCAAGAATTGAGCTGCTTCTTGAACATCACTCAAACTCCTGAAAGGTAATCACAACAAGAAATCGACATTATCAACGTGATTTTTTTTGAAGGGTCTGAAGATAAAAGAATTTACACTCAATGTAAGGGTTCCACATTCTGATGATCTATGTATCCCATCCCACAAAAATAAATACCACCCAGATTAGAAATCCTTGTTGTGGATTGGGCCTATTCATTTTGGGGGATGGTTACTGGTGGTATTTTATTTTAGGGATGGGGTAAAGAGTGCCACTATGAGTCCTCATTCCTTCCGATGCATGTGGTATACCGTCTTTCTCAGCACTGGGCACGATGTAGTTGGCTTCCATTTGCCAAGGGACATCCTGACGAGTGGCCCTGAGCAGGGAACTCAGCGCCATGGGCAGGATGGACTGTGGCATAATCTCCAACAAGTTTAGTTGCAGTGCTGGGATGTTGATAATGTTTTGCAATAGTGACCCAGCCTGTCAAGCAGCAATTGGCATCCTCGGAAGGGGTTCTCCTCCAGGTATTTGTCAGACCTTTGCAAATTGGAACGCATGACAATCACTGGCTAGTTGATTCTGACATTTGTTCTCATTCAGATTTAAAGCAACATCTCAACATTGTAGTAGGAATTGATATCAGCTAAGTGACATCACGATCCATGCGTCAAATTGGATTGGAACCCGCCGCCTTGCGGGCGGTGGGGAACAGCGGATTGCCACCGCCTCACTAACCAACCCTTTCGCATCCATCTTGTCCTCCCAGCTCCTGCACAAGCAAAAATAAAGCTGGGTGAAGACATGTAGTATTTCCAGAAAAAAAGTGAGTTTTAATATGTCATTTCAATGTTTTATATATTCAGAATAAGATATAATAAGTATATATTTTTTTATACAAAAACATACTTATAAGTATACATATAAGCATACATATATTCATGCTATGTGTTTCTTTGTGTTTCTTTGCATTTGGAATGGGTCATGAATCCTCAACTGCCCTGGGTAGCCACCTCAACTGCCCTCGGTAGCCAGCTTGCTTCTCCGACACAAGGAACGGCGCGATGAGGATGCCCACACCTTTGGGCCGTTTGTGAAGGACATGGGCCATCAATGTTACCATCTCATCAATCTCGGACATTGTAGTTCGACCACATTTCATCATGTCACACCATACGATCGTGGGCAACTCCGGGTAGCGCATGAGAAACTGCAGGGTAGGCAGGAATCAATCAGATCAGTGAAGCTGTTCGAACAAGGGACTCATGTTTAAAAGGGAAGTTTCAAAACTCTTACTGTATAAAATTCTTCTTTTGGACCCCAGACCCTGTCAATCGATGCCATTTGATCCTTGATCACCCCAGACACAACTGCCAAATTGTTCGCCATAAAGTCAGAAACAATTGAAGCACCTATGACGTTTTGTGCCCGCAAATGGACAACTTTCTCTAGTCTGCGTGCGTTCTCTGACTTGGTCACCTCTTTGTAGATAGCGCCAATTTGCGCAATGTCACGTGCAAGGGCAAGTGTGTCAGCCTCAAACTGAGCCTTCCTAGCATCCATGGTGAGAATGGACACCTTTTCATCAGCCTCTGCAAGTTTGTCCTGTGTTGTGTCAATTGGTTTCGGCATGTGATCCTTAAAGATGGAAGAGCTCTCTGATGTCCATGTAGGCTCCATGCAGGCCAGTGCCTCATCAGCTTCTGTCACAAAGTCCCTGAGCAAGGGGCAGGGCTAGGACTAGGACCAGGCATCTAGAATCCAAAGTTTGGAGTATAGTAAAGATCAAGCAAAGATTGAATGAAGCTACCAATTTGTTTCACAACTGCACCACCACCCGAAACAAGAAATCAACTGTCAACTGAGGCAGGCCATGGTTGAACAAGTTTAGCCAAAGGTCCCTTCCACAGCACGAAGAGCAATGGAATCAATGGTCTCTTCCGTTACAGCGGCAGCACCCATAGGATCACATGCACTTGCCAAGTCTTGCAAGATGTGACCCACCAAACAGGCTCTATCACATTCCAGGACCCAGTTCTCCAAACTAAGTCGATTGGAGCTTGCTCTCCCTGGCCCCCCCTTCTTAGACGCTATGTCGTGAAGCAGCAAAACTCGGTGCATGAAAAGGACTTGTTTTTTCCGATCAACTTTCAACACTTGATGCCAGTTGTGAAGATTCTTTGCCGCGGGGTCTTGGGAAATTCCGCCCAGCATCCATCGCTCACACAGCAAGAGCGCATTCGTGAAGGCTGCAGGGAATAATGATATGAAGGTTTTGATTCAAGAATAAACTGCATGCAAAGGAGCATGATAGTTTCCACATTCTTCAGAATACTTGAGAACGCACCACGCCTGATAACTCGAACTTGTTCGTGTGCAAATGCGCTTCCAGGAGATTCCAAACTTCGTCACAAACACCAACCTGAGCGGGAAAGCCCAGAATGGAGGGTGAGAGGTTTGATGGGTGATGTTGGGGATTTCATTATAGAATACAAGGAAAAACATGCTTCAATTTCACTATATCCAGAAACCCGGAAAGCATACAATTGCAACGCTGCATTCTGGTCGATGAAAACCCTGGTGCTATGCTTGGCCAACCCATAGCCATTGAATTCCTCAACGGCTTTGAGGAAAGCCATCTTGTAGTTCCCAGTGTAGATTGTAGGATCCTGGATAGACTGGATTGCCCAAGAGTTGATGGTAATTAGGCATGTGAATTGGCACATTGCATCACATTGCTAGGTACTGAATCCCTCTTAAAATTATGAATTGTCCTGCACCATCAACTCTTTGGCTCGGGTGTCAAATGTCAACGCCTTTTGAAGGCAGTTCTTTTTCTGACGCTCTGCCTGCTGATCGTTCAACTGCATCCTTCTCCACAAGCATTCTGCCTGTGAGGCCTCAACGAACTTCACCTTGATGGTCTGGACCGTTTGGAGCCACCTGTTGGGCGAGGGCAGGCTGCCAAAAGGAACCTAGATTCCAACAAAAAAATTACCCTAAAAACCCAAAATAGATAAAAGCATCACCTTGGAAGATGCTAAAATTTCAAAAAATTAAGACGACGGTTCCGGTGGAACCATCACCTTGGAGACCTTGTCAAAGGGTGTGCTTCTGGGTTCCCAAAATATCGATGAGCTTCCCAAAATATCAAACTCAGATCCCAAAATATCGATTTTAATGTGAATTGGTTCCCAAAATAGTGATTGATATTTTGGGTTTGCTATGCTGGTATGGTTTCAAGTTCTCCAAGACGACGGTTCCACCAGAACCATCACGTAGAAAAATTGGAGTTTTTCAAACTTCCAAGACGACCCTTTTATATATTTTGGGGATTTTGGTCCTGATTGCCACAATAATATTTTACGATGATACCATGAATTAACTTGAAATCCCAGCTCCAGATTTTAAAAAACACCAGACCTGAGAAACAATTCTTTGTCACCATCATTCAATTCCTCCCTGTGGTAGAACGTGTGGCAAATGACCCAGAGGATCATGGACATTCTTCCCAAGCCCCTTACGGGTTGCACATCTTTGAAGCCCAGGCTACATCCCCAAGGGGTCGAATCTGTTTGACTCTTTACTTCTACACAGCTCCTCCAGCCCTCATACCCCTCAAACACTATGCCCTTCAGGTTGTAGAGCCAGCCCGAAAAAATCGGCAAGCCATCCGCAGGACGGGTGAAATTGAAGGACAGCAAGGGGATGTCCACCATCTCCTTGGCTGAAGCCTCAGCGAAGCAGCACACGATTGAGGTGGCTCACTGGATCTAACTCAGGTTGATAATCATGATGATATGCTGTAAGGCTAGAAACTGGGTAATTGGAGCATGTCGGGCGAGGGAAGCCCTGGAGCATTTCTTCAAGCCATGTTTGAAGGGGCTCGAAGTCCTGGAAGTCATTGTTCAACGAGTCGAGCAAGCTTTGCACAGGATGACAACCAGCCTTGAAAGCATTCCTGGGATCAACTTTTTGTTGACATTCACTTCGATCAAAAATCAGATTCCATCGACCCTCAGATTTTCTTAAATTTGTGCTTTGAAATTGACAGTTGAACCTAGTCTCTTGGCATAGTCATAGACTTTAGTTGCCCATGGGTTGGCAAGCTTTGCTGCCTTGCTTGGACCAGAGTCGCCATCAGGTGCGACGCGTTTTCCCATCCTGGCCAAACTTTCCTGGCCCAGGACGAGCAAATTGAGCCTCACACAGTTGATCAGTTGGATCTGTTGTTGATGTAAGGTGGGAAATATGGATCCTGGGTTTGTTCAGCAATAGCCAATTGCCCCATTGCAAATCAACACTTTTTCCGTCTTGTGCTCAGGACTGTTCATTAGATCAGCAATGCATAAATCATCAGGAGTCTAAACAATCTGAATTTCAGCGCCATTCTAGCGCCATTGCTGCTATCAGCATAATGGCACCCACACATGGAGTGCTCATGGTGTTTCCGGCTGCCTTGCCTTTGTTCAATCCAGAATCACCAACCCGGAGCACAGGAGCACTACAAATTGCTGCCTGCTTGGCAGTTGTGGGGATCAGCTGGCTTGCAAGCATTTCGTTGCCCGTCAAGAAGCGGTGTTTCTCCTGCAGGATTGTTGGGACCATGTGTAATTATGGTACAATCATATCTGCTTAAATCTAATCAACAAGATCATATGATAAAATGTTTCAATGAACTTAATCCAGTTCCCCTGATATCAAATGATTTCGATTGTTGGGGCCCCTACGAGGATATTGGAAAAAAAGGGGTTGTCAAATGCGACGGGCGTTGAGCAGTGACAGGTCCTGGGAGAAAATTTTGCAGCTATTCGTTGTAAGTGTGCAGAGGCACCCATCGCTGGTTTCACCCCGCCCCCTATTGTTTGAGGGGTATTGCTGCAAATCCACATACTTCAGGTTCGGCATGTAGCTCTTGTAGTCTTGGAGGACTTTTTCCTTGTCAAGAAGTTGGATGATCAATGGTTGTTGTATTGAATTGTTCAATGACAAAATTTCAAAAATGCCATTCGATGTTGACACTTTCAAAAACAGAGTCATTATAGATCCTTGTAAGCTATAGCCATCATAAATCCCTGTGCAATCAAAAAGCCTGCGCTTGGGTCAAGGTATCCTTCGGAAGATCTTGCCAAAAGAAGCCACCTGCTCCAAATTCAACGGAAGCCGTCAGGGCCTCAAGAATGGCTTCCATGCTGACGTCCTCTCGCCAGTGGATTGTTTTAACCTTCCAACAGATGGCATAGAGGCGGCTCCTAGCTGCCCCTATTCCGAAAATCCGGGGGTCAATCACATGGGATCTTATTCCCCATTCTGGTCCAAGCTCATCTCTGATGTGGGTTTCTCCATATTCAGGTACATTTTCGATGATCAAAACCTCACACAATGTTTTCATTTTCTTGTAGTACTGCCGATGGGTTTCATACGCCGGATCAGCTGTGCCTTTCCTGTTTCCAATCTTGGAAAAGGAAATGCATACTGGACCTAAGTGTGCCATGTCATGCTGAATGGGTTAATCCATCTAATCATGGCACATTGATTGAGTCCGTCAAGCGCAGAGGCCCTGGCCAGCTGCATTGACGGGCAATCCTGAGGACAGGGTGATGGCTGGAATGGGCTAAGCAGGGCTATGGTTGAGTTTGAAAACCTACAGCATGCAAAGGGAAACTGAACAAAATTCAGCTGAGGTTCGTTTTTCTTTTTGAGATGTTTCTTCCGAATAGGGCAGGGTTTTCCATGGGTGACACAAAATTCTTTTGACTTCGTGACGTCAAAGGTCAAGATGTCTCCAAAGCAGCAACAATTGTAAGTATTTCCCAGAACCTTCTGGGCACTTTTGTCAATTTCCACCGCAAAGTCATGAGCCACAAATGGACATTCCAGACTGGGGATTGCATGCCCGTTCTCCCTGAGGAATTCCGCTGCTGCAGACTGTAGAGAAGCCGCTGCCTCAAGACAGGATTGGCTGGAGATACAGAAATTCAAAGTTGGTAACAGGCTGCTGAGCTTCAAACACTTTCAGCTGCCCCAATTCCAGAAAAGGCCGTGCTCATACTCCAACTCCATGAGTTGATACGTTCACAAACCCATGACTGGCCGAACTTGTCAGCCAGTCGCCTTAAAAACACCGTGGGCCATGAGAAAGCGTTTTCCACACTCACAAAACCTTTTGGGTGTTGGTCACTGGCAGCGAAGATTGTACACTTTGGGTACTTCTGCCTCACACAAGGAAATTCTGTTTTATCAGGATGGGCACCCCATATCTGATACAATAAAGTGATTAGCTCCATATGATACTTTCTTTTGGGATAATGATGACAGGTTCTCATGATGTTTTCTGCGCTGGATTCTAACAACTGGCCGCCTTCGCTTAGGTTTGATTGGCACCTTCCGGGATCTTTGCCTGCCAACGGGCTTCCACAAGGTTTGAAACTTAGAAAATCTGAGGCTATGGGACTGGGAAAACAAGTAACCCGGCCTTACTGTCTGAAATTGATTCTTCAAGATCTTCTTCTTGTTGACCCCCCTTAGAATCCAGAATAATTAGAGATACTAGCCAATGCAACAACAGAGGCAGAGGCCCAAACTCTGGTGTCTTCGCATGAATCGCTTGTAGCACGGAGTTCCGTAGGGAACCGTACCTCTCACAGGCTTAGACGACCTAGAAATTAAAAGTATGGGGAATAAAGGTGATATCCGAAAAAAACAATCCGATCGCCTGCTGCATGAAGCTATTGTTTTTGCTGGCGACCTGCACACACAAGTATTACATTAAAATTACATGTCATGCTTGATTCGGCCACTAAACCCTGGATTCATGCATGAATAAGAATTGATTTACATTGATGTGACCCTGCAAGCCTTCTCACTGGTTCTGGCTTCTGGGAAACAACTTGTGGAGCATTGCGGCTAGGCCTCCCAATGGTAGCTGAACACACCAAAACCCTGAACCAATCTTCAATAATGATAAAACAACACCTTATCTGACAAATGACAGCAGACAAAAAACAAACACGACGACAGCAACAGAGTTACACCACTACTACAACAACAAGACCAACACCACCAGCACCCACCAGCACCCACCAGCACCCACCACCACGGCCACCACAGACCACCACAGACCACCATAGACCACCACAGACCGCCACAGACCACCGCGACCACTTCCACCAACAACACGAACAACAATAACAACGGCAATAACAACGGCAAGAACAATAGCAAGAACAATAGCAAGAATAATAGCAAGAACAAGAACAAGAACAACAAGAACAAGAGCAAGAACAAGAACAAGAACAACAACAACAACAGCAGCAACAACAACAACAACAACAACAACGACCACGACCACGGCCACAACCACGACCACGACCACAAGAACCACCACCACAACAACAACAACAGCAAGAACAGCAAGAACGAAAACAAGAGCAACAGGGCAAATTCCACCATTCGCAGGAAACCAACAGCTACAGCAGCAGCAACAGCAATGGGAAGCAAAATTGATTAGCGAGGAACCATGGCTACCACAATCTACAATTGACAGTGACAAAGTGGCATCACCAGAACCACCATCAACACCACAACAAACAAGAGTACCACTAGCAGCACAAAAGCCAAATTGGTACTGGACTACGTGCCTTGCCGGAAGACCTGTGTCCTGTCGTGTCTCCTCTAACCTTTGTCGGTGCTTATTAACACAGCGACATGGCTTGGAAAGGGGTGGAAACATTAAGTCCCCAGCTTCTGGTCAAGATTTCCCTTTGTCCGTCCAGCGCTCCTGCATGGTTTGGCAAATTAATGATTCTGCTACCGAGGACAGCTTGTTGAAGCTGGCTGCTCCTGGCTATGTTCTTCCAGGCACCCTGCAGGGCCGATTGGACAGCCTGTTTTAATCCTAGCATTGCCCAGTTTTTGAGCCGAGGGCCTCAGAAACATCCTGGCACATCGAAGATGCATTCAAGTTTCCTTTTGATGTACAACGGATTGTAAGAGGACAAGCAAAACTCACTCCAAGGGCTGCAAATCTTTCAGTGGCAGTCGGATTGTCCATCTATGGGTGGGCCAAGGAAACCCAGCACAGGTGATGGCACATTTGGAACTGACTGTTGTCACAGCCCCCTAATTATATATGATAAGCTAAGCTTGGCATCCTCAGCTAGTCGCTAATTGACTTCCCATCCTTAGCATCAGAATCTGGTGTGACAATATTTAAGCTTTGTTTCATTGAAATTCAATCGCAGCTTCGGCCTTGTCATCGCCAGATGTGCTGCTCCCAGTGTGCTTCGAAGGCAAGTCCTCCAGCACGGGGCAGACCAAGGATGAAATGCCATGTGGGGGTTTCCATAAATGGTGGTACACCAGAATTTATGGTTTGAGGGAAATATATAAAATGGATGATTTAGGGGTAGTCCCATTTATGGAAATCCCCATGTAGTAGAATTAGGTGAGGTTGGCAACTTGTGTTTGGACTGGACCAGAATTAGGTATCAAATTGTTAGATATATCTCTGGGCTGGGTCCTGTGTCACTAATAAACATCAAAACAGTAAAACCATATAACAACAATATGGTGATAATAACTATAATTATAACATTGACAAAGAGCTTAATTCAATACTCCTGAGCCATAGAAATCAGAGCCTTGTCAAGGCCACCTGTGCGGCGCTTCTTTGCATCCCGTTCCTGAAGGCGCGGTGGGGCATCACCTACTTTCTTTATTATAGCTTGAGCAAGACCCAAGCCTTCTGCAATTCCTCCAGTAGGACGTCTAACTCCCCCTGGTCATGATGTTGCATGGAGTTATGGAATTGAGAAGTTTGACACGAACTTAGACCTGGGAGTCTGCCACAAGATGTGGGTCGAAGTCTATGATCTTAGCAGCCAGATTCCAGTAACAATAGATACTCTTCAAAGTTCAAAGAATTGTTTTGGGATCTGACCTCACAATCGTCATCATCGGCTGAATCGCCTTTCAAAGGCTCAGGGTGTCCAACCTGCAGAATGGACGCATCAAAATCTTTATGGTTAAGATTTTATTCTCAATAAAAAGCCTCCCGGAACAAGTCGTCGTCTACATGGTAGAGCTGGGATTGGTAGTCTTCAAAAACCTCACAACACAAAAACCAGATCAGACTATTATGTTCAAGAAATTTCCGGACAAAATGTTCGAGAAAATGTATTTCAGTGTATACTCTGCACTCCTGCTCTTTGGCAGCACCCGCAGCGCTCCAAACCTGGCACCAGGATTGGATACCAATTGTGAGGGGATGGGCAATCTGGTTCGAAGGAGGCCTGCCTGGGATTTCTTTCGCCTCAACAGCTGTTGGCAATGGGTCTTAATGGAACAATATGGAAAGTCATGGATCCCTTGACATAATTTCGTGATTTATTATTTTTACCCGGGCCTTAGGGCTGACTGGCTCATAGCCATGGGAATGCTAAAGTGGTAGCCTATAGCTAAGAGGCTGCCTGGGGATACTTCTGATCCAGAAAAGCTGCTAATGAAGCAAAATGAGAAAGTCCCATGTAAGAAAGTCATTGAAGTGAGAAAGTCCCTCATCATTGGTTTTTTACCCTCGCCGAGCAAAACGGACTTCGAATCTCATAGTAGGCATCAACCTACGAGCAACTCGTGGCACAGCCACCTGAATATTATCAGGAGGGGTGGCTGTGGTAAACCATGGCATTGGGGGCAACGGTCCTGGAATTGGGTTTTCCACCAGGCTCAATAAAAATTCAACTGCCCTCCCCATGGTGTCGGAAGGAAACCTCCGAAGCAAGAGCCTGCACAGCTCCAGGTACTTCTTGGCCTTTGCCTGCTCCACTGGTCTGAGAGGCCGGGCCACAGTTGGGGCAGCATTGAGGATGGGAACTGCAAAGTTGTAGGGCATGGCCAGCACTGCTTCCTCGGGCAGGTGGACTCTAACGTTGTTCTGATATGCATTCATTTTACAAAATGAGGTTGCTGTGTGATATATGTTCTAACTTTGTTCTGAAACATGTTGTTTAGACGTGACATGTACTCATTAAAAGATGAGGTTGCTGTGTGATATATGTTCAAAAATGTTCTAACATTGTTCTGAAATATGTTGTTTAGACAAAGAATCTTGCGCCAAAGTGTGATCGGCAGCATTCCGTTTCACCAAGCAAACCACATCCAGGTCATGAGGTAGGATCACTCCATTCCTCTGGTCATAGGATATCGCCACATTCCGAGGTAGGGCTGGCCGGTGCCAGTGTAATGTTTCATGATTAGAGTCGTTAGGCATCATGATATCTTGAAATATTCAAACCCCAAATTTTGATGACATAACATGTGTTTGCATTCAAATCCAAACTGCTGGCCTTTTCTCTTCATGAACATGAAAGCATGAAATCCAGTCTCGTCTGACTTCATGCCGCCCTGGAAGGTCACTGGCAGAGAAGCGTTCAACCTTGCAGCGGCAAAGGGGAAAAGTGTCAGGGGAGCGATCGTGAATAGCAGGGTTTGAAGTAACGATCAATTGTTATTATATGTTATTATATATCATATAATAGCTAGATATTAGACCGGAAAAATGGAACACTGAAAAAGTAATACAGCATTTTTTTTATTGGGGGCTATGGTACGTTTAGCAATTCAATAATATCATGAAGCCATTGGGGGCTATGGTACACCAATTCAATAATACCAAGAAACATCAAGAAACCATGGGGGGCTATGGTACACTAATTCAATAATACCAAGAAATCGTGGGGGGCTATGGTACACCAATTCAATAATACCAAGAAATATCAAGAAACCATGGGGGGCTATGGTATGCTAATTCAATAATACCAAGAAACCATGGGGGGCTATGGTACACCAATTCAATAATACTAAGAAACATCAAGAAACCATGGGGGGCTACGATACACCAATTCAATAATTATACCAAGAAACCAACCTGTCCAGTCACGACAGCTAGTAAGCAACTGCACCTTCACTTGCGCCTTTTCCCCAATCCATTTGCGGATGTTGATGCGTTCCAAGATGCCTCTGAGTTTCCTGGCGCCACACGGGTTAAACATTTGTTGGCTGCCATGTGCCTAACTTGAACTGAATACAAAGTAAATTCAAGTCGAGGGTCATCACCAAGTCATTGGGATCACAGATCAGGTCAACAAACCGTACGCAAGTGGCTACCAACCCAAATAGTTGGTCTTAGTTGCTGGTTTGCGATGAGGGCATTGCGGATCTGGAATGTGCACAACTGGAACTGTCACAGTAACTATGAGAACTCTTGAAATCATGTGGTTGCAAGAGA